CTTGACCAGGCTGCAAGTCATCAGAGGCTTGACGGAGCAAGAGTGGAAGAGGCGGCTGTTAGAGAAGACTATGGCAAGACTCCAGGAGGCAGTCAGACCCTGACCGGAGCAGTGGTCTTGGGAGCTCTGCTGGGGGAAGCTCAGAGCCATGCCTTGAGTGTCTTTAACGTCTTTGCACCTTGCCTGCGGGAGGCAGTGGTGTACCACAGTCACAGCCGACAGTTCTGGGCCCCATGCAGTTGTGTAATTTCAGGCAGGTCACTGTACCTCTCTGATCCTCGTTTCCCTGTCTGAAAAATGAAGAGAATACTAACACCCACCTGGAAGGGACTCTGCAAATGAGATAACAGGCAGTACTACCTGGTGGGTAAGAACGCTGTAGATGGACTCTGGAGCCAGGCCACCTGGGCTCCTGCTAGCTCCTTCTCAGTTCTGCTGCTTATTCATTGAGTGACCTTGGGTAAATTAACCAACCTTCCCGGGCCTCAGTTGCCTCATCTGTAAAATGGATTTAATAACAATATCTACATCAAAGAATTCATGTGAAGACTGAATGAATTAACACATGGAAAGCGCTCAGAACAAATAGTGCTTGGCACACGGTAAATGCAGTAAAAAAAAAAAAAAAAGAATGTTAGCTATTATTACATAAAGCCACATAGGGTGGTGCCTGGCACACAGAAGGCCGAGACTCACTCAGCACATGTGTGGCCTCTTCTCCATGCTCCAGACCTTTACTACGCTCTCAGCAAATTCAGAGGTCAGGGTAGGCAGGGGTGGGTGAGATGAAAGAGTAGCAGAGGGCAAGCCTCAGACCAGTCTTCCTCCCACCCAGGCCCCCATCACACCCCAGGAGACACCCACTCTCTTCAAAGCCCTCCAGCAGGGTCCCCGACCAGTGGCCTGCTCTGCCCTGATCCTTCCTTCCTCCAAAAACCTCCACACCCCACCACCATTGCCACTTGTTTTGTCCAGAGCACTGTCACAATGGTGGGTTGAGTCTGGAGCCCTGCAGCTCCGGCCAGGAGGAGGGGGCTCTGCAAGCGCAGAGAGCATGGTGTTGGCTCAGCCTGGCGGCCCCTCCTGCTCTGTGCACACAGCCAAGAAATGTTTGTGCATGACAACAACCCCATTCTTGTCCCAGATCTAGACGGAGAAGCAAGACTCCTCTAATTCTCATTCAACTCAACATTATCATTTCCTCCCACACAAGTATAATGCTCCCAACACAGTGGGGGGAAAATAAATGGCTTACCCTCCTGGGAAGAAGGAGAACCCCCCCTGGGAAAAGCACCCGAGACCCCAAAGGAGACAGACTTCCCCGGGGGCCCTCCCTTGGGCTCACTCTCTCCCCCTCCTCCCTCCCAGTGCCCTCAGCCCCTGCAGGGAGCGCACTGACACAGCCCAGCAGCCAAGCAGCAGACCACACATTGCCCTGGCTGTCAAGAACAGCAGGCTGAGTGCTCTGGCTGCTGTCTCCCAATGTGAGCCAGCTTGCAGGGGTGGGCGAGCGTGTGTGGTGGGGGCAGCAGTGGATGGAGAGTTACCACCAAACCCGCTTCAGCCCACCACCGCCTACAGCAGAGCCAGAGCCGGGCCCATGCACAAAGCACGGGAAATACAGCTCTCTTCAGTGTGGAGCAACTCAGCAGTGGCCCCCCAGCACCACAGTAAATCATTCCAGGCGCCAGAACTGCAAGGGGGGGCCAGGCCAAGATCAACAACGAAAACAGAGCTCTTCTCTAAGCATCTGAGGGTGGGGGGACTATTGTGGGGGAAAAAAACACCTGACCACCGGTGGAGACCAGCAGCTACAAACAAACAAACAGACAAGCAAAGCCGTCACATACAGAAGACCAGTGACCAGAAGGAGGTTGAGCCTCATCTCGCTCTCTGCTGCACTAAGAAGGCCACACCCAGAGCACAGCACAAGGCATACTGGCATCCGGGAAACCGTCCAGATGAGACAGTGCGGGAGGATGTGGGAATCCTGGGGGTATGACATGGGTGGGGGTGGCCATGACAGCGGCTAGCAACCGCAGCAGAGGGAAAGTTCACAGGATGAAGAGTTTGTCTTAGGGGTAATGTGACCCCTGGTGTGTCGCTTCACTTCTCTGAGCCCCTCGGATTCTTCGGCTGTAAAATGTGGACTGTGGTGCTGGATGTGCAGGGTGTAGGGAGGAGTAAATAAGTCCCTGGGCGCAAGGGGCCCTCAACAAGCGGCAGCTGGGGCCCAGACCCCTCTCTCCTCTCTTCCTCCACCAGAGGGAGTGTGGGGACCAGGAACGCCTAGCCTGTACCCACTCTACTGATCCTCCCCCAGTGCTGCAGCCTCTGCTGCTAAACTCCCACCCTGCCTGCCCTGGCTGCCAGCGGCAGCCTTCTCACCCACTCCTTACAAACCCAGAACAGGCCTTGCAGGGGAGTCTCTCCAGCAGCTGTGGTGGCAGCAATGGCTACTGCATCAACAGGCCCTCTGGATGCTTGGCGGCGAGGGAGAGCGGAAAGGAGGGAGACACAGCCTTCTCCCCCCCACCCCCACCCCTTGACTCCGCCACCCATCCCAGAGTCAGCTCCTCTTTCTCCAATCCTTTCGATACTTAAGGCTCGCCTGGCCTCTCGGAGTTTGTGACCTGGCCAGACCCTGAAGCCAAGAGGCTCCTGTGGGTTGGAAAGCTCTAGTGGAAAAATGACAGGTCTCAGACACAGGTGCACTTGGGTTCTAGTCCCAGCTCCATTAGGAACTAGCAGCGTAACCTTGGGCAAAATCCTTTCATCTTGGGGCCTCAGTTTCCCCATCTCTAAAATGGAGTTGCAAATGCTTACTGCACAGGGCCTGTGGTGAAGCCCAAAAGAAGCAATAATGGATGTGCAAATACTTAATATGTGGACAGGGGAAATTCAAAGTACTACCTAAACCCCCTTATTAATCCAGTAGGAAACGTGAGGCAAAGAAATCCGACGAGCAGCCTGGAGGGTGCACAAAAGAGGGACAGACTGAGAGGCAGGCCTGTGCGGATGGCAGAAGCACAGAGCTCAAGAGCAAATGGGCTTCCAGCCAGCCAAGAGATTCACGTCTGCAGGATGGAGAATCTGAGGGTAATGGAATCCTGGTATCTGGGAAGACCCAGGTCACTTCAGTAGACTTTACACCCATTTCAGGAATGGTGCTTTCTCCAGCTCTTCCCAACACCCACCGGGCCCCTGCTGGACATGTCCAGCCAGCTCCCACCCCCACCTCTTGAGTCAGTCCTCTGCATCACCAGGCAGCCAGGTTGGAAAGTTCTCCCTGATTTACCCCCAAATTTCCCACTGCTCCTGGTTCTGCTCCCTGGAGCCACACATAATGAGCCTGCTTCCTCGGTCACAGGCCTGACCACTCTAGAAAAGTCTTCCACAGCCAGGCTCAAGGACCACAGCAGGCTCCAATCTCCTGTTCCCACCCCACCGTGGCCCTCTCCGGAAACAGCTCTGCTTGGTTGATCTGGACCTTTCCCCCAGGGTGGGGCCCCAAGCTGCACATGGTCAGTCCACTGGGAGTGGGCTCCCAGCAACCATGCCTGGACAGGAGAACCCATCTCCCTTGCCCTGGGACTACTCTGGGGCAGTCCACACCGAAACTCAGCCGAGGGTGCACTGCAGTGGAGCCCAGCCAAGGCCTCGAGCTGCAGCTGCTGCTCCTGGGGCCCAGCCATCTCAACCCAGCACCCCAGCCTGCTGCCTCACCACGGGGGAGTTGCAGAGAGCTGTCTCCCGGCAGATTTCCTGAGGCAGAAGGCTTCCCCACCCCCAGCCCAGCCTCCAAGAGACACTCCACTGGTTGTGGCACATGGTAGGACCAGCTGAGCAGTGAGAGGAGGGGGAAGGCTGTCCATTCGCTACAGGACTTCAGACTTGCTCTGTAGTGTGGCTGGATTAGTCACAGAACCATCAAATCTAAGCCGGGGGGTCTTAAAGAGCATTCGAGGCAGATCAGGTATGGGGGGAACTGATGGCTTGAGAGAGGAAGGGACTCAGTCAAGGTCACAAAGTCAATCTGCAGCACAGCTAGAAGGGGAACCTGGGTGTCCTGACTCCCAGTTCAGTTCAGTGCTGTTCTTTCCAATACAGCAAAAGAGAAATCAGGGGGCCTTTAAGGCAGCTCTGTGAGCCTGCGTGCCCTTGACTCTCTTAGCCTGACATTTATCCTAACCAGCTCACAGTAGTATCTGCATGGAAGAAGTGGACCCAGCCCATGTCCCACCAACCCAAGGTGTCCCAAATAGGCAGACACAAGGACCCCAGCACAGAAACTGGCACTGATCCAACAAGAGGGAAAATCTGTAGACTTCCTTCCTGGGAGCTCTTTAATTGGGTGGAGAGGGGGTGGTCTTTGAGGAACTAGCCAAGGGCCTGGCCTCCATCTTTGCTCCCCTGGCCAGGATGTGCTGCAGTTCCCCTCAGAGGGATGTCTCAGCCTCCAGCAGCCATTCTGGTCCCCACCTGCCTCTCTGGGAAAGGATGGAGCTGAGGCCGCCAGAGGGGCCAAGATCAGGCCTGCACTCAGGACCTGCAGAGGAGACCCAAAGGTGGGGGGGCGGGCGGGGGGAGGACAGGGGCTTTCTTTCCCTTGGGGCTCTGAGGTGACACCATCGCAGATAATAAAAATCCCAAGAAGCACGTCCAAAATAAAGCAATAAATGAAAAGCCATCCTCTGGCAAGGGTACAGCTAGGGGTGAAGAAGTGGAGGGGTGATGACTGCTGTAGGCCCTCACTGGCCACGGTTTTGAGAAAGAGGAGACACCTGCACTCATCTGGCCAAGCCAGGCTGGGGTGGCCAGAGAAGGGATGTCCGCTGCTTGAGCAGGACCCAGCTTCTCCTGACAGGCTGGGACGGGAGAGGAGGACATGGAATCAGGCACTGGCTTCTTACTTTATCAGCCTGACAAGTTGGAGAGGGAACTGGAGGCGAAGAGCTGGGGTGAAGGTGGGGAGAGGGGTACAAACACACGTTCCTTACTTTCTCTGGAGGGTTGTGGCCGGGCTGGTGCTGGTACTGGTGCTGTGGCCGCCGCCCGCCCCGGGGCTGGAGCTCCTGGATGCGCCACGGCTCAGCTGGCCCCGCTCCCGTGGTGCCCGGGGCCCCACGCCCACCGCCGCCGAATAGCCGGCTTCCTTCTCGCGGCCCGGGTGCGCTGGCCCGGTCTCCCGCCCGCCACGCTCGCGACCCAGGGCTGGGTTCTCATGGTGCAGGTGGCACTGGGCCACGTCGCGCTCGCGGGCTGGGTAGCCGGTAGTGTCCTGGAGCGGATAGGCGGCGTCCCGCTCCTTGTCCCGATACACTGCCTCCCGGTTCTGGTAGGCGCCGTCTCGGTTCGGGTAGCCCACGTCCCGGGCCGCCTGGTGGAACTGGCTCTCCCGCAGCTCGCGGTGGTGGAACTGGGTCTCGCGCAGGTTCTGGTACTGGCTCTCGCGGCCGGGGCTATCCCGCGCGCCGTGGGGGTCCCGGTGCAGCTCCCCGCGGTGCAGCTGGCTCTCCTCCCTCAGGTCGCGGTTCTCCTGGGTGAGCTGGTCCAGCTGGCCCTCCAGTTCTTCAATGCGCCGCCGCTGGGTCTCCAGCAGCTGCTGCTGGCTCTCAATGATGTTGTTCAGCTCCAGCAGGTACTCCACCGCCCGGTTGGGGCTCTCGGATCCCGGACCGCCCGGGGGCCCCGACCCCGCCTCCATCCTGGCGGCCCAGGGGCAGGGGAAGGGGCAGGAGAGCCCGGTCCCCGCTCGCTCACGGCGCCACCCTCCCCCGGGCCCAGCCGGGGGAGGGGGCCGGCGGGACGCGAGGGCGCGCACCGGGCTCGAGGGCCCGGGGGCCCGGGGGGGCCCGGGAGACAGCTCTGGGGCCGGCGGCACGGGGAGCAGGAGCTGAGGCTACCGCTGCCGCCGCCGCCGCCACCGCCACCGCCACGGCTCAGGAGGACGCGGCCCACGGCGCTCCGCCCGCTGCGGAGTCACTGCGCAGCGCGGCCGCGCGGGACCGCCCCGGCCGCTGGCCCGCCCCCCGCCCCTGCCCCCACCTCGCGCGCCCGGCCCGCCCCCGCGCGCCCCACCTGCAGCCGCCACCCGCGCCAGAAGCCTGACCCGCCCCGAGACGCCCGAGACTCCCGCGCCAGGCCGGGGCCAGCCCCATCGCAGGCTTCCAGAGAGCTCTCCCACCGGTCCCAGGGTCTTCACCTAAAGAAGGTCTTCAGCCTAACGAAGCCCTCCATCCCAGTCCGTCCCAATGTCCCTCGTGTCCTCTCCGCCCGAGATCCGCATCTACGATGTCCCAGGAAACCCCGTCGCAGGCAGCCTCCAGGTCCAGGCATCCCATGGACTCCCCATCCCCTGGGTCTGCCAGTCCCAAGTGTCAGATTCCCCGCCCCATCCAACGCCTGGACCTCTTATCTCAGGCGACCTCCGTCCAGTCCACTGCCCGGGTAGTCCTTGGATCTCTCATTCTAGCCGGTCCGCGGACCATTCCTCCATCCCAGCCAGCCCCCGTGTTCCTCCAGCCCAGGCAGTCCACAGCTCCCTTTTCCCAGGCAGCCCCTGCAACATCACTCCCCTATGCCCACACACAACATCACAGTCATCCCCCGACTCCAGCCAGTTCCTAAACTCTCCATCCAAGTCAGCACCCAAATCCCCAGTCCCAGTCAACCCCAGGATCCCAAAGGTTAGCCAGTGTCTGGGTCCTCCAACCAAGGCAGTCTCGGGAGCCCATCCCAACAAGCTCTGGGACTTCCCATGGCAGCCAGTCTTAGGATCAAAGCTCCATCCATTCATCCATTCGACTCTCACTTTCTGTCCTCCTTTGGAGATGCTCTTCTCCATTCTGTCCATCATCTTCATCCAATGAAACTGTACCCATCCTTCAAGACTTAAATGCCCCCTTCCTGAAGCCAACCTTGATTTCCCTAGCGAGAAGTGCTTGCTCTCTCTCCTCTGGACCTCCCATTGCACTTCTCTATACTTCTTTTGTGGCACTTGTGGGACAAGTGGAACCCTACTTTATAGTGCACTGGTTTATGTTCTTATTATAGCGCATTAGTTTGTGTTCTTGTTTTATGTCCTCTGCCAGGCTGAGCTCCCTAAAGCCAGAAACATGTCTTCATTCATCTTTGTGAGCAGGCTGAGGTAGAGGAGAAAGCACACGTTTTGCAATCAGACAAAACCAGATTTAAATTCCATCTTCTCCTCTCTGAACTTCCATTTCCCTATCAATAACACCTGCCTCACAGAAGTAGTCTTGGGAAAAAGCAGGTAAAAACACTTGGCACAGAAGACACAACCTGGGGGGCGCCTGGGTGGCTCAGTCGGTTAAGCGTCCGACTTCGACTCAGGTCATGATCTCACAGTTGGTGGGTTCGAGCCCCTCGTCGGGCTCTGTGCTGACAGCTAGCTCAGAGCCTGGAGCCTGCTTCAGATTCTGTGTCTCCCTCTCTCTCTACCCCTCCCTGCTCTCTCTCTCTCTCTCTCTCTCTCTCTCAGAAATAAATAGAAAACATTTTAAAAATTAAAAAAAAAAAAAGAAGACACAACCCGGGGAATAGGAGAAAATATTTGCAAATGATATATCTGATAAGAGTTTTGTATTCATAATATGCAAAGAACTCCAGCCCCCTCTCCACTGTTGTTACAGCCCAACAACAAAACAACCCAATTTTTTTTGAATGGGCAAAGAATTTGAAGAGACATTTCTCCAGAGAAGTTGTACAAATGACCAGTAAGCTCATGAAAAGATGCTCAGCATCATTAGCCACCAGCAAAATGCAGATCAAAAAACAAAATGAGCTTTCTGAGCTACCCACAAGGTATTGTTCTGGGTTTCTGTCATAACCTAAAGGGAAACTTTCACGATTTCCAGAGCCCTTGGGGCCCTGCAGATGAAGGAGGGGGCTGTCCTGAAATTCCTTGCAGCAAGAACCCTCTTAGGTGGTGCCAACTTTGACTTCCAACCTTGACTTCCAAGTGAAACAGTGCATGTACAAAAGGAAAAGTTAAGGCATCTACATCTTAAATCTGAAGAGAACCTAAGAGAAGCTTCTGTTGGTGGCCGTTGAAAATCCAGCTGATGTCAGTGTCATACCCTCCAGGAATACTGGCCAGCAAGCTGTGCTGAAGTTTTCTGCTGCCGCTGGGGCCACTCCTATTGCTGGCCACTTCACTCCTAGAAGCTTCACTAAACAGATCAAGGCAGCCTCCCAGGAGCCATGACTACTGGTCGGTCCTAAGCTGACCACCAGCCTGTCACAGAGGTTTCTTATGTTAACCTGCCTACCATTGCTCTGTGTTACACAGACTCTTCTCTGTGCCATGTGGACATTGCCATCCCATGCAACAGCAAAGGAGCACCTCAGTGGGTCTAATATGGTGGATGCTGGACCAGAAGGTTCTTTGTGTGCGCGCATGGTATCATCTCCCGTGAGCACCCATGGGAGATCATGCCTGATCTCTATTCATGCAGAGATCCTCAAAACATTGAAAAGGAAGAGCAGGCCACTGCTGAAAAGGCTGTGTCTAAAAAGGAATTTCAAGGTGAATTTACCGCTCCAGCTCCTGAGTTTACTGTTACTCAACCCAAGGTCACAGACTGGTCTGAAGGTGTGCATATGCCTTTAGCGCCTTTCCAGTACTTCCCTATTGAAGACTGGAGTGCTCAGCCCACCACTGAAGACTGGTCCGAAGCTCCCACTGAATGGATAGGAATAACCGCTGGGCGGTCTTAAACTGTTCTTCCACAGGCTCTTAAACAAAAAAATGGAAATAAGGTTGTTGAAAAATAAACATCAGCTTCTTTACACACACACACACACACACACACACACACACACACCACTTCACACCCACTGTGGTAGGTAAAATAAAAAGGACAGACCGGAGCAAGCATGTGGAGAAACTGGACCCCATTCACTGCTGGTTGGGATGTAAAATGGTGTGGTCACTTTGGAAAACAGTTTGAAATTTTCTCAAAATGGTAAACATAGAGTTACCATATGACCCAGGAATTTTACTTCTAGGTATATACCCAAAAGAAATGAAAACATATGTCCACACAAAAACTTTCACATGAACATTCATAGCAGCATTATTCATAATAGCCAAAACGTAGAAACAATCAAATGTTCGTCTGCTGATGAATGGGCAAACAAAATAGGGTGTATCCACACAATGGAGTATTATTAAGCCATAAAAAGGAATAAAGTACTGACCCATGCTAAAACGTGGATGAACCTTAAAAACATTATGGTACATGAGACACAAAATGCTACATATTGTGATTTCACTTTTATAAAATTCCAGAATAGGCAAATTCATACAGACAAAAAGCACAGTGATGGTTGCCAGGCATGTGCTGGGGAAAGAGGAGTGACTGATAAAAGGTATGGGAGTGACTGATAAAAGGTATGGGAGGGAGAATGAAAATTTCTAAAATTAGATTGCGGTGATGGTTGCACAGCTCTGTTAATTAAAAATCACTGAACTGTACGTTTTTAAAGGCAGAATTTTATGATATGTGATTTTTATCTCAATAAAGCTAGTTTAAAAAAAACAGGGGCGCCTGGATGGCTCAGTCGGTTGGGCGTCCAACTTCGGCTCAGGTCACGATCTCACGGTTCGTGGGTTTGAGCCCATGTCGGGCTCTGTGTTCTTAGCTAGCTCAGAGCCTGGAGCCTGCTTCAGATTCTGTGCCTCCCTCTCTCTCTGACCCTCCCCTGCTCATGCTCTCTCTCTCTCTCTCTCTCTCAGAAATGAAAAAAACATTAAAAAATGTTTTTAAATAATATAAATAAATAAATAAAACCAAATACCTTGCACAAAGTATAGCACAGAACAGCAGCCACAGTTATAATAACTAACACATCTATGGAGCTTACTATGTGCCGGGCACTCTGCTAAGCATTTTACATGTATGAGCTCACTTATTCCTCATGACAATCCAATGAGGTTGGCAGTGCTATTAGCCACATGTTATAGGTAAGGAAACCCAGAGGTTGAATTGGCTTGCCCAGAAGGATAGCCCAGATGCTCAGATGTTTCCTTCTCACTTCTTTGTATCTTTCCTCAGTACTTTATATATAAAAAAGGTGCCCCATAAGTGTTAAATTAACACATTCATCAAATACTTCTATTTATCCAGTAATCACTTACAGAATATTTATTATGTTCTAGGCAATACCTGCATTGTCATCTTTATTCTTGCTTCTCTCCTCCAGATTCCCTGTAGGGTATGGGGCACATGGGTACAAATGTTCATTCACAAAATACTTATTGCATGTCTGCTATGTGTCAAGCACTGTTCTAGATGCTGAGGATATAGCAATGAACAAAATAGACAACAATCCCTAACCTCATGGAGCTGACATTCTGGTGGGGCAGACAGAGAGATAATAAGCAAATAGAATATAAAGAGCATGTTGGATGGTGTACTAGATTGAATAGTATCCCCCCAAAACTTGAGGTCCACCTTGTGAATGTGATCTTATTTGGAAATAAAAGTCTTTGCAGATGTAATCAAGTTAAGGCGAGATCATGCTCTTTTAGCGTGGGTCCTAACCAATGACTGGTATCCTTATAAGAAGAGGGAAATTTGGACATAGACACACACACAAACACACACACACACACACACACACACACACGCGAGAAGAATGACACGTGAAGAAAGAGCCAGAGATTGGAATCAACAAGCCAAGGAATGCCAAGGATTGCCAGCAACCACGAGA